GGAACTCATCAGTTTGGACCTGTCAAGCCTTCCTTCAAAGGACCTGTCCAGCAACGTGCTCGCGGTAAGAAAGGACCTCCTGGATCATGCTATATCTGTAGGAAGTTCGGCCACTTCAAAGCCAACTGTCCACAGGCGAAGAATAAGGGCGGTCCCAAACGCCCGGAACAAGGAGGATCCGGTAAGCGGGAGTTCATCGGCGTCATTGAGTGCAATGCTGCAACTACTGACGCTGGTGGCTGGTGGATTGATTCGGGAGCTATCCGACATATTGCAAAGACGGAGGAAGGGATATGCGACTTCAAGGAGCTGAAGAAGGGAAATCAAAGGATTTACATGGGAAACAATACCTACCTAGATGTTAAAGGTATTGGTTCGTACAAATTGGATCTTGGGGACAGCATCATGGTTCTCAAGGAAGTGTTTTATGCGCCTGGCATAAGACGTAATCTGGGAAGTGTTTTATGCGCCTGGCATAAGACGTAATCTGATCTCCGTCCCAGCTCTCCTGAAGAAAGGCCTTGAAGTTAGGTTTTACTAAGACGTAATCTGATCTCCGTCCCAGCTCTCCTGAAGAAAGGCCTTGAAGTTAGGTTTTACAACAATAAGGTCTCTATTGGGAAAGACAAGAAAGTGCTTGCTATGGGCAAGTTTGTACCCGAACATGATTTGTTCTGTCTTTCTGTTGTAAAACCTAAAATTTGTAATAATAATTCTGATTTGCTTTATTCCTCGTGTCTTTTATCTGATTTTGATCTATGGCATATGAGACTAGGACACCCTGGTAATAGAAAGATAGATCAGATAATTAAAATGAATTTGTTACCAAATCTGACAGGTGTAAGGACATTACCCTGTGAACACTGCTTAACAGGGAAAATGACTAGAAAGTCATTTTCTGAAGGTCAGAGGGCAAGTGAACTTTTAGAGTTAGTTCATTTTGACATTTGTGGTCCGTTAAGCGTAAAGACACGTGGTAATAAAATAATATTTTATAACTTTCATAGATGATTATTCCAAGTATACTTTTGTGTATCTTCTAAACAAAAAATCAGAAGCATTTGAATGTTTTAAAAGATACAAGACAGAAGCAGAAAGGAAACTTGGAAGATATATTAAGGTGTTAAGAACTGATAGAGGTGGAGAATTCAATTCAAAGGAATTTGAAAACTATTGCATTCATTATGGCATTAAGAGACATACCACTATGCCTTACACGCCACAACAAAATGGTGTGGCTGAAAGGAAAAATAGAACATTGATGAATGCAGTGAGATATATGCTGTCATATTCTGGTCTCTTCAAGGATTTTTGGGGAGAAGCAGTATTGACTGCGAATTATATTTTGAATAGGATTCCCACAAAATCAGTCGAGTCAACACCGTATGAGATTTGGAATGGACACAAACCTGAATTAAGTCACTTAAGAAAATGGGGTTGTGTTGCACATGTTCTCATTCCATATTAAATTAGAGATAAGCTGGATCTCAAAACCTTAAAGTGTAGATTTATAGGCTATTCTGAAAAGTCTAAAGGATATAGGTTTTTTCATGAAGAGAAAGGGGTCATTGAAAGTAGAGATGCTACTTTTCTAGAAAATCTAGAGAAAAATGAACAAGTTCAAGAGGCAGTACAACCTTTGCTAGACTTAGATGATGTTCCCAACGATGACCTGGACATAGTGGATGAAGTAAATAATCCAATAATGGAAGATGAGCCCTTAAATGAGAATATGCCTATGATAAATCAACCAGCTGAACCTGTCCAACCTGTCAACCTTAGTGGTAATAAAAGACCCAGAACAACACATGCATGGATGGATGACTATTATATGTATTCATGCGAACCATCATGTTTCTCGGTAGACATTGACATAGATGAGCAAGCTGATCCCTTGAATTATGTGGATGCTATGAACACGCATGAATCAGAACAATGGCTGGAAGCCATGAAAAGGGAGCTTGACTCAATAGAGAGAAACAATGTATGGGAACTATGTTTTTACCAGAAGATAGGAAGTCCATAGGATGTAAATGGGTGTTAAAGAAGAAATATCGGGTTGATGGGTCTATTGATACATTTATGGCCCGATTAGTTGCTAAAGGCTTTACTCAGAAGGCAGGTATAGATTATCAGGAGACTTACTCTCCGGTGGCTAAGTTTGCTTCTATAAGAATTATCTTAGCAATTGTTGCACATCTTGACTTGGAACTTTTCCAAATGGATGTCAAGACTGCATTCCTCAACGGAGAGTTGAAGGAAGTAATATATATGAATCAACCTGAGGGATTTCAGGTTGAAGGACAAGAAAACAAAGTATATAAATTAAAGAAATCTTTATATGGTTTAAAACAATCATCTAGATAGTGGTATCTCAAATTTCACAATACTGTTATCCAACTTGGTTTTATTGCTAATAAATTGGATAACTGTGTATATGTCTTGAAGAGTGGCAGCAGTTTCACAGTATTATCTCTGTATGTAGATGATATTTTGCTGGCTGGAAATGACATAGAAGTGCTGAACAGAATCAAGTCAGCACTTAGTAGTGAATTTGAGATGAAGGACATGGGAGATGCATCCTATGTTCTTGGTATACAGATCCTTAGGGATAGAAAGTCTAGAATGTTAAGTTTAAACCAAGAAAGGTACTTGCATACAATACTTAGAAGGTTTGGGATGCAGAATTGTAATCCTGCGCCAACACCTTTGGTTATGGGAAATTGGTTGTGCAAAGAACAATGTCCTGGAGAAGGACAGAAACCGTTTGGTGTCCCGTATGCACAAGCTGTTGGAAGCTTGATGTATGCAATGTTGTGTACTAGACCAGACCTGGCATATCCGGTGAGTTTGGTTAGTAGATATCAAAGTAATCCTGGTCCAGCACATTGGGAGGCTGTTAAGAGGATTTTGAAGTACCTGAAAGGTATTGTGCACCATAAATTAGTTTATCAAGCAGACTCGCTTGAGGTTCTTGGTTACTCTGATGCTGATTTCGGAGGTGACAAAGATGACGGGAAGTCCACTTCTGGACATTTGTTCATCTTTGGTGGTGCAGTTGTTTCTTGGGGTAGTAAGAAACAGGGATGTGTGGCAAGATACACACAAGAAGCTGAGTACATAGCCTGTAGTATGACAACTACTCTGGATAAGACGGTTCCTAAAGGACTTGGATCCAATTTGGTGGATGGACCAATTGAGATATACTGTGATAATCAAGCAGCCATCAGCTTGATCAACAGTGGTGCAAACAGTTCTAAAGAAAAACATATTGAGATACAATATCATTATATTCGTGATATTGTGGAAAAGGAAGAAGTATGTGTGACTTATATTCCTACTAGTGACATGATTGCTGATCCCTTGACGAAGGGTATCCCAGCAGGTACATTCATCAAACATGTTAGTTTGATGGGACTTAGAAATGTCTAAGTCAATGAAACTTTCATGAATGATGAAAGGAGACAATCATGGATAATGGTTGTACTCAGTTTATTCATGAAGAGTGAAAATTATATATATCTCACGAATAGTGGGAGTATGAAATTACATCTTGAGTCACATCTCACGGATAGTAGGAGTGTGTGCTTGGAAAACATTTGGCCATTTCGGCCAAGTGGGAGATGTAAGTGGTTTTGGCCTCATGAGCCAAATTTGTTACCCGATCTGTTAAGAACCTGACTCGGTTGTTGACAGATATCTCACGATCCGTGGGATATTTTCGGTTGGAGATCGGGTCTTACGTAGAAGAGGAGAACGTGGGATATTGAGAGATTTCAGGACGGTTATTTGGGGACGGAGGGGCGGATGGCACGCCCATAAATAGAGAGGAGTTCCTCTCCTCTGAAGATCACAACTGAGAACGATCTCCACCGGAGTCCCCAAATAACATCCTTCTCTTGTTCCTTCACTGTTGTCAAGAAACTAAAGGAAAAAAAACATCAGATCATGTCTGAGGGGATAATTAAGCCAAAAAATAATTCATAGGTAAATTCACAATTGAATTAGAATCCAAAAAATAATCAATATTATCAATTAAACAAAAAAATAAATAAAAAGTAAAAGAAAAAAACATCAAATTAGATTAGATATGAGCAAAATATCGTAAGAATATTCCAATCTCTAGGCAATGGCAATAGAAGGGGAAGATCAAAAATTGCCAATCAAAGAAGTTATTGATGGAGGAGGCGATGGAAAAGCGCGCACTGGAACATGATAAGAGATTTTATTTTGGCTAAGAGAGAAGATGGTTGGTTGAATAGGCTTTAGATAGAGGGGATCTTGAATGGGACAGGGACATGGAAAGGGGATTTGTGAAAAAAAAATGTAGTTTTTTTTAGGATTAGGATACAGAAATGAGAGTGGAGATTTCCAGAGAGTTTACGCATTCTGTAAGACGCGGGTAAGGTGAGGCGATTTTTTTTTTTTTTACGGCATAAAAGGAATCAGTTGAAACTCTTGAACATGGGCATTTTTAAATTAAAAAAGTGAATCAGTTATTTGGTGGTTTCAATTTACTGTTCATATCATTATTCTCCTTCAGTTAAAAGAAGCAACAGATATAAATCTGATGAGAACAACTCCATCTAGATCTAGTCACGTGTGAAGGGAGCACGCCACGTGAAATCCCCAAACAGTCCCACGTAGCCTTGTTGACGAAATCTGTACCCGTGTTCTTGTGGCTGTGCGGGCCCCCACGGCTCGTCCTAGGGTCCAGTGTGCCTCCAGAGGGGGCCACCTCAGCATCCCAATTCCCTCCCGCGCAGGCAACGTCCCAAATATGACAACAGGCAGTATAAATGGTATGCCACGGCCCCTGGGCCCCACGGAGCTTATACGTACGCGGAAATTTGCCCCCCCCCAACCCCCCCCCTGCCTGCGTGTCCAAGACAACGGTGCGTTCGCAACGGTCCCCACCTCCGTCACCCCCGACGTTTTCTCAGTACTACGTGTCCTTTTTCACACGAAAAACCCCCCAGCACTTTTCTCTTTTCTCATTGGCCGGGGGTTGCTATATAAGTCAGGGGTGGAGCTTGGGTGCGTTCTGAGGGGAGCGAGCGGATCAATCAATGGAGAGGGGGGTTAAGATGGAGGAGAGGTACGAGCCCCTGAAGGAGTTGGGTGCTGGCAATTTTGGGGTTGCGAGGTTGGTGAGAGATAGGAGGAGCAAGGAGCTGCTTGCTGTCAAGTACATTGAAAGAGGCCGAAAGGTATTGCTGCAATTTTTTGATGATTTATGTGGAAATATTGTTAATTTGTTTAATTTCTTTTCTTTTCTTTTTCCCCCCCTTTTCCTCTGTTTTTGGCTGATGGGTTTGGGTTGTTGTTGGGTGTGGTAACTTGCATATGCTTGT